TTAGGCCTGACCTACATACATTTTTTTAGTCACACCACACGGCATGCGGGATGTGGGATCTTAGTTCCTGACCAGGGGTTGAACCTGTGCCCCCTGCGGTGAAATTGAAGAGCCCTAACCACTGAGCTGCCAGGGCATTGCCTGAACTACATGCTTCAGATATTCGACTTTAGTAAGGTTTTACTGCTACAAGTGGTAAACTCACAGTTTTTATTTGTCTAAAATATTTTTATTTCATCATCATTTTTGAAAGATAATTTCCTTAGGTATTTAAATGTAAGTGGATAGTTATTTTTCCCAAGATTTCAAAAGATATAGTTTCACTTTTTCCCTGATTTTTATTGTTCCAGTTGATAACTTGGCCGTCAGTATACTACTGCTCCTTTTTTAGGTAACTTTCTTCTTTCTCTGACTTTGTTTTCCTGTCTGTTTTACTGCTTGGCTATGCTCTGTCTATGTACATGTTTTTTGTGTCCTCGCTGGGATTTATTGAACTTTCTAAGTATAAGGATTTTTGCCTACCAGCAAATCTGGAAAGTTCTCAGCCATCCTGTCTTCAATAGTGCTTCTTCAACATTCTCTCTGTAATCTATTCTGGAATATTTATTCAACATATGTTATCCCTTCTCAATAAAGCCTCTGCACCTCACAGCTTTTCATATTTTTCTTTTCTTAGTCTCTCTGTGATACACTTTTGAAATTTCTTTAAACCTCTTTTCCAGTTGCCCGGGGGCATGACCACTTGGGGACTCCTTTAAATCTGCACTTGAGCGTTTTTGTGCTTCACCTGTAGCAGGAAGCCCAGCTTTCAATGGATAAGAGATTGGCCTGGAAAGTGGATTTTTCTGGAAAATAATGAAGCTTAGTTACGGTCTCCTGTGGTGCTCCTTGCCTGCCTAGCATTCTTCCAGAGTCAGGAGGAGACCTTGCAGGGTGATCACGGGCGTATTCTATCAGTGCTGTCAAACTGTGATGTTCAAACTGAACTTACTGTCACTTTGCCTTTCAGCATCTTGTCCTCACGCTTCCCTTTATATTGGTGGTGGTGTAGCCTCAGGCTTTTGTGGGATCTGAGTAAGAAGTGAATTGAGAATGTAACATTTTCNACTGTCACTTTGCCTTTCAGCATCTTGTCCTCACGCTTCCCTTTATATTGGTGGTGGTGTAGCCTCAGGCTTTTGTGGGATCTGAGTAAGAAGTGAATTGAGAATGTAACATTTTCACTGAAATTTGAGAAGACATTTTGAAATGCTTTAGTAAAAATAGGTCATTAATCACCGGCTTCCAGTTAGATTTGTTTTGTCATCTTTAAATTTATTTCCTAAAGAAGTGAGATAGAATTCAGATTAGAAAATTAAATTTGAACAAAAGTAAGAAAGATGAGCAAAGAAATCAAAAGAAATTATCCTGACATCAAGAAGTAAACTGTAACAATTAAGAAAAAATCTATCATATGCAAAGTTGTTCTTATTTTTAGTTGCTGAGCCGTGTCTGACTCTTTGCGACTCCATGGACAGTAGCCCGTCGGGCTCCTCTGTCAACGGTATTTCCCAGACGAGAATACTGGTGTAGGTTGCCGTTTCCTTCTCCAGGGGATCTTTGCAACCCAGGGACCCAATCTATATCTCCTGAGTTGACAGGCATGTCCTTCACCACTGAACTATCTGAGAAGCCCTTAAACCCAAGGTTGTACTTCATTAAGTGGCAGAGGTAAATTTCAAATAGAAGTTGAGAATAGAATCTTAAATTGTTTTATTATCTAACTGATGAGAGGTGGAAGAAGTGAGACATACAAACAGATTGGGAAAAATTTTAAGCTCCTTGCTTTTTGGACTGGAGATATTAACATTGAAGGTGAAAACATAAAACTCATAATATGTCAGTGTAATACCAGAGCTGACAAACTTCTTAATGATTCTCATTAATTCAAAGAATGGCTAAGGTTGGTCACTGCATATGAAAATGTAAAATGCCCTGTAAACTTCCACGTCACAAACGAAGAAACAAGACACATTTTCTCATACTTCACACTGATCTTAAAAATTCCCATGTTATCAACGACAAATTATGAAACAAAAGACATTCTCTAGAGCATTAATTTTAAAAACTTCATTTTTGATCAAACATGCTGGAAAAGACTAAATTATCTTTTATTCTCTGAATAGAATTGATATGACAAAACTTTTGTTGTATAAAGAGATCAAGATATTTGCCACCAAAAAATGCCAGAAAATACCATTTAAAGTGATGTGTTAAGCAATTATTCAATAGAACGTGTGATGTGTTTCTGGATTTTCTTTTTAAAAATATTTATTTATCTTTGGCCGTGCCGGGTCTTAGTTGCAACATGCAGGCTCTTCATTGCTGAGCACGAGCTTCTCTTTAATTGTGGGCCCTGGGCATTGTTGTTCAGAGACATGTGGGATCTAAGCTTGCTGACCAGGGATGGAACCCACGTCCCCTGCATTGGAAGGTGGATTTTTAACCCCTGGACCACCAGGGAAGTCTTGGACTTTTCTGATCTTTGTGATAGTTGTCACCTTTTAAAAGTTTATATTTTGTTATGATTTCTTATTCTCAGTAGAGGTTTTGAATATTCAACCTTGTTTTCATACTCTTGTGATCTTTTTGTTAAAGAGGCCTCCTTCTATTGGGGCCCCACTGTTCTGGGTCCATGCCTGGCTGTCATGTTACTAATCCTCAGGGAAGACTTTTCCCTGGGGGCCAGGAAGAGACGGGCAAGCGTCCTTGCTGCCTCCCTCTGTGTTGCAGATGTGTTTCTCACTGAGATGAGCCCTTTGAGATCCTTGCTTATGCCTCAGGCTCTTGTGTCCTCAGGAAACACCAGATCCCTAAGGTCAATAGCAGACCTGGGTGCTTACTGAACCACCCCCTGCCACCGATTTCCCCAATTTCTGCTTTTGCTTTGTGGATTCCTTTATTTATTTATTGCTAGTTCCATGACACATTTAGGAAATTGCTGAGCACGAGCTTCTCTTTAATTGTGGGCCCTGGGCATTGTTGTTCAGAGACATGTGGGATCTAAGCTTGCTGACCAGGGATGGAACCCACGTCCCCTGCATTGGAAGGTGGATTTTTAACCCCTGGACCACCAGGGAAGTCTTGGACTTTTCTGATCTTTGTGATAGTTGTCACCTTTTAAAAGTTTATATTTTGTTATGATTTCTTATTCTCAGTAGAGGTTTTGAATATTCAACCTTGTTTTCATACTCTTGTGATCTTTTTGTTAAAGAGGCCTCCTTCTATAAGTCACTAAAGCTTGGGGCCCCACTGTTCTGGGTCCATGCCTGGCTGGCATGTTACTAATCCTCAGGGAAGACTTTTCCCTGGGGGCCAGGAAGAGACGGGCAAGCGTCCTTGCTGCCTCCCTCTGTGTTGCAGATGTGTTTCTCACTGAGATGAGCCCTTTGAGATCCTTGCTTATGCCTCAGGCTCTTGTGTCCTCAGGAAACACCAGATCCCTAAGGTCAATAGCAGACCTGGGTGCTTACTGAACCACCCCCTGCCACCGATTTCCCCAATTTCTGCTTTTGCTTTGTGGATTCCTTTATTTATTTATTGCTAGTTCCATGACACATTTAGGAAACTTAAAATTTTTTAAATTAATTCATTAACTTATGGTTGCGCTGGGTCTTCGTTGCCAGGCTCAGACTTGTCTCTAGTTACAGTGAGCGGGGCTCCTCCCTGGTGAGGTGCTCAAGTTTCTCCCTGTGACGGCTTCTCTTCTTGCTGAGCACGGGCTCTAGGCACACAGGCTTCCGTAGTTGCAGTTTGATGGCTCTAGGGCTTGTGGACTTCAGTAGCTGCAGCACGTGGGTTCAGTGGTGGTGGTCTGGGGACCCTGGAGACTGCAGGCCGCAGCAGTCAGGCAGATGGGGTCAGCCGCTGCCCTGTCTGTGGGACCTTCCCGGGCCAGGGATCAAACCCAGGTCCCAGTATTGGCAGGTGGATTTCTAGCCACATACCACCAGGGCAGTCCTAGAAGGCTTTTGAACTTCCTTTCCCCCAGGATTTTAGTTCTTTAGTAAAAGAACATTTTAGATATCTCATCCAGTATCCTTCTAGAAATGAAAATACTTGCAAATCTAATGTTAAATATTTTATAAAGTACTTATAAAGTATTTCCTCTATTGGTAGGAATTTTTTTCTTGATACAGTATGATCTCTTTCTCTATATGGTTATTATAATTATAGTGTGCCCTACACACTGTCCTTCATTCTAAGACAATATTTAATATCGTTTGCACCATGACTTTTACATAATCGTGATCATCAGCCCACTGCAATAAGCCAAAGCTACGAGTTTTTTTTTATCAAGTCTCAGCTGCCAGCAATGCACCAGAGGTAAATGGGTCAGGCCTTTGATATAATTTCAGATATGAGTCACTAAAAATATTAGAGGTGACAAGTGATAACTCTCATGTCCGTATTGATGGAGCCTTTGGCAGGATGATTAGTTCCCACCAGCTTTGCTGAAAAGAGACCAAGGCAGAAAGACTGCTGTCTCTCAAGCCCCCAGCCTTCACCAGGGCTGTGGCAGAGGTTGCTGCCGTGATTATAGCAGTTAAGATTACACATGCGCACACACACACACACACACACACACACACACAGAAGCAGAGACAGAAGACAAATGTGGATGAAATGAATGATCCAGATTCAAGAGATCTGAAGGATTTAGATCCTTTCGTCTCAAAGGTCTGCTACAGAAGGGTTAGAATCTCCATTCTCTTTTATAGGATGGGACAGGTGTTTATACTGTGTTTAGCATTCAAGTCAAAGAATAATGCATTTTCCTTCTTGAGGTTGCTTCAGTGGTCAAATGAGGAATCTCTGTCTCTACTTCTTTATTTTATTTTAATAGCATTTGCATCATTCAGAACAATTCTGAAGAAAAATTGTAACAGATCATTTCTTTAATTTGAATGTAGATTTTTTTTTAATCCTCAGAGGAGATATTTCTGTTTATTCAACTCCAGGCAAAATTTCACCTTGAGGTCTGGAAATGAACTGGACTCTGGGAGTTGGAGTATAGAACACTGCTGCCAGAGCTGACATTGCCACCGCCCCAACAGTCTTCATCACGAGTGGGTTTTTCATTCTGTCTCCTTCCATATGTCATAGTCTAGAGGTGCCCAAGAGGCATGCTTCAAAGCCTGCTGAAAGGAAAGTCTGTCCATCATGGACACTGCCAGCCAGTCATAGCACTCTTGCCCTTTCAAAGTGACTGATGAACCATTAGTTTTATTAAATGTGAACATTGGTTTTATGTGTATGCTGAAGTCTGTGGATATAGAGATGTCAGGGAATAATTGCTCCCCTTAAGAGTTTACTGTCTCGTTCTAACCAAAAGAAAAGGGAACCAGCATTTACTGAGGGTCTGTCATGTTCTGGCAGCTAACAAGATGTTACCTCATGGTACCTGTATTAAGTTAAGTATCGTAACTTAGGACTCAAATCCAACTGCAAAGTTGACATTCTTTCCCTTACATCCTTGTGCACTGATAAATTCCACATTTGATTGCCAGTTTCTAAATTTTGGCTGAAAAGACTTTTTTCCCCTTTATCTTCCTTTCCTCTGAGCTATTCAGGAGCTTGAAAATGTATATGTATAATATACATTTGTCTATGAAGATCACATACATATATGTGTTTGAATGCATATGTGTTAAGTTGCTTCAGTGATGTCTGACTCTGTGCAATCCTAGAGACCGCGGCCCCTCGGGCTCCTGTCTGTGGGATTCTCATCCTAGAGACCGCGGCCCCTCGGGCTCCTGTCTGTGGGATTCTCATCCTAGAGACTGCGGCCCCTCAGGCTCCTGTCTGTGGGATTCTCATCCTAGAGACCGCGGCCCCTCAGGCTCCTGTCTGTGGGATTCTCATCCTAGAGACTGCGGCCCCTCGGGCTCCTCTGTCCATGGGATTCTCATCCTAGAGACCGCGGCCCCTCGCGCTCCTCTGTCCTTGGGATTCTCATTCTAGAGACCGCGGCCCCTTGGGCTCCTGTCTGTGGGATTCTCATCCTAGAGACTGCGGCCCCTCGGGCTCCTCTGTCCATGGGATTCTCATCCTAGAGACTGCGGCCCCTCGGGCTCCTCTGTCCGTGGGATTCTCATCCTAGAGACCACGGCCCCTCGGGCTCCTGTCTGTGAGATTCTCATCCTAGAGACCGCGGCCCCTCGGGCTCCTGTCTGTGGGATTCTCATCCTAGAGACTGCGGCCCCTCGCGCTCCTCTGTCCGTGGGATTCTCATCCTAGAGACCGCGGCTCCTCGGGCTCCTGTCTGTGAGATTCTCATCCTAGAGACCGCAGCCCCTCGGGCTCCTGTCTGTGGGATTCTCATCCTAGAGACTGCGGCCCCTCGGGCTCCTGTCCATGGGATTCTCATCCTAGAGACCGCGGCTCCTCGGGCTCCTGTCTGTGAGATTCTCATCCTAGAGACTGCGGCCCCTCGCGCTCCTCTGTCCTTGGGATTCTCATCCTAGAGACCGCGGCCCCTTGGGCTCCTGTCTGTGGGATTCTCATCCTAGAGACTGCGGCCCCTCGGGCTCCTCTGTCCTTGGGATTCTCATCCTAGAGACTGCGGCCCCTCGGGCTCCTGTCCGTGGGATTCTCTAGGAAAGGACACTCGAGTGGGTTGCCGTGTCCTCCTCCAGGGGATCTTCCTGACCCAGGCATCGAACCTGCGTCTCCTGTGTCTCCTACAATGGCAGGCAGGTTCCTGACCACTAGAGTCACCTGGGAAGGCATGAATACATATACATTCAAATATATAAATAATCAATGAGTCAACTGAAATTATTTGCATCTTCAGTTAATTATTTGTGATTGCTATATCAAAAGACATTGAGTAGCAAACTTATTATCAACTTGTGAATTGATGACATCATGGAAAGCTTTTCTGTTATGTGGTCATAGAATCAGTGTGATTATGGCATCAATGAGTTGTTAGCAGTAGTGGCCTTATTTTACTTTTTTACCTGGAGATCATAACGGAAATAAAAGGCTCATTCTTAAATTAACTGCTGATTGATTAAAATGAAGCTAAATGATCCAGTTTGTATTAACTGCTAAACCATGGGATGAAGGTTCTACGTGTTTTATATCATGTGCCAAATTTGATTGGTGGTGGCAGCTGTCTGCAATAGGAAGATTTAAAATTTTATTTTGCTTTATTTTTCAGAAAAAAAAAAACCAACTACTGAGGCTCTGTCTTGCTCAGAGCAAGTGGCCTTGGTAAACTATTAGGTTGTTTTTTTTTTAACTATGTTTCTTTTAGAACTCATTAATTATTTAGAAAAACAGGTTGATCCAAATACCACATACCAAATATTTATTCCAAATACCACTAGAAAAGGAAAACTATGTAAAGGAGCAATGTCATTCCTGCATCTGAAGGAAAATTGGGATAATAATCTTGTTAATAAAATGTACCCATATGGTTAAAAAGCCAAATTTTAGATTCGTGATAACCCTGCAACAAAAGAACAGTTGAATGTGCCTTTGTGTTGGATTTGGGTTAAAAAAACAATATTACAGACTATTTTATACTGATTTAATACTTTAAAATGAAAATGCTGAGGTAGTACGTAAATTACTGAGTTATTTTCTTACCAACATGTCTTCTCCATAAGCCCTCTCTGCACATCAATTATGAACATGTTCAGTTGTTAACCAGAAAAACTGATTTGGGGGGTGGTTTCAATGAGCAAAAGTTTATTTTTTCTGTAGAGTGAGAAGGTGGTTGGCCAGGGTTGTTTCGGTTGGCTCAGCCACTGCACGGGGCTCTCAGGGGCTCAGCTCTTCCCAAGGCTCTGCTTGCACATCTTGAACCCTTGTCCGCACGTGGCTGTGACAAACACAGCCTCAAGTCCATATTCCAAAGGATGATCAAAAGCGCAAAAGGCCTTCTCCAGGAAGGCTGGCTCTTTTCACTTGGTTTGGAATTGCATGCCTCTTCCCAACTTTTCCTTACATCTCTTCAGCCAGAAGTGGATCACTTGTCTCTCCAGCCTATCACTGGCAAAGAGGAATCATCATCTCTGGTTTGTCCCCAGAGGTTGGGAGAGGCTTCGCTTCCCAGGATCAAGAATTCTCCACCCACTCTGTCAACATAAAAGTGATGCAGTGGCTGTGAGCAATAAACACCATCATCCAGAAAGGGCAAACCTATTTTAGGGGATTTAGAATATCACTTGAATCAGAGCATCATTTCCTTGTTGAAATAGCTTCATATAAATACTTGCCAAATGCTTGGAGTTTGACAGTAAGATTTTTGTTCTTGCAAACAAAAGGAAATAGATAAAGAGATACCATCTTACCAAATGATTGTTAGAAAAGATAAATCATATCATTAGTCTGTATCAGTCAAGAAATCCTGAAGTTAAGTCTATATAAAATGATGCTAAAGCAAAATTGGCCAGTTTCCATTTAAAAAAAAGTCTTGAATTAACTCCTGGTGATATTTAATGTATTTTTCTCGATTGTTGTTGTTTAGCCACTGATTTATGTAGGGCTCTTTGCAACCCCGTGGACTATAGCACACCAGGCTGTCTGTCCATGGGATTTCCCAGACAAGGATACTGGAGTGGGTTACCATTTCCTTTTCCAGGGGACCTTCCTGAGCCAGGGATCAAACTCGCATCTCCTGCCTCATCAGTCAGGTTCTTTACCGCTGAGCCACCAGAGAAACATATTTTTTCTCAGTACGAGATGTTATTTTAAAATTAAGAGTGTATTTCGCTATAGTCCATATCATATCACAGAGCTGTGTTTGTGGGACAATGTGTCAGAATAATGCCTAATCACTTTCCTTGACTTTATCAAAGTGAAGTCACTCAGTCGTGTCCAACTCTTTGCAACCCGATGGACTGTAGCCCACCAGGCTCCTCCATCCATGGGGTTTTCTAGGCAAGAATACTGGAGTGGGTTGCCATTTCCTTCTCCAGGGGACCTTCCTGACCCAGGGATTGAACCCAGGTCTCCTGCATTGCGGGCAGACTTTACCTTCTGAGCCACCAGGGAATCCCAGACTGGGTGGTAAATCAGATACTGTGGAACGTCTGAGATGTTGCCCTAATTACAAACAAGTTAGCTCCGCATGGTTTTGGGTATTTTTGCTGCCGAGGAGACCACACTCTCAAGTCAGAGTCTGAGACGCCCACTGCTACAGCAGCCTTCGCCACGTCCATGTGCCCTGACTCCTGCAAGACAACGCGATACTCGTCAGGTGCGGATCTCCAGAACAGCCTGAAAAATTAGGAGACTTGAAGCTTTTTTGGGGCTGCTGGCACATCCGCCCGTCTTTCCATTTAGAGTGAAAGCTTACTCAACCCCTGGGAATTTAAGAAAATCTCTCCAGAGAGGAAAGAGAAGCAATCAATCTTTTCTATCTTAGTGTGTCTCCAGGTCTCTCCAGAGGAATGTATTATCATCTCCAGCTTCCAGGGCTGTTTGCTGTACAGATAGATCCTTTGCTTAGATGGTTCAGACCACAGAGAAATAGAACTTTGGACTGATATTCTGAAATTTCACTTTTGATGGATGTGAGTAACTTCCACAGACTAGTGGTGTTTAGTATTGACATCCAAGGGGTTCCTAGGTGATGCTAGTGGCAAAGAACCTGCTTGCCTTTGCAGGAGACATAAAGAGACATAGGTTCGATCCCTGGGTTGGGAAGATCCCCTGGAGGAGGGCGTGGCAACCCTCTCCAGTATTCTTGCCTGGAGAATCCCATGGACAGAGGAGCCTGGCGGGCTACAGTCCCTAGGGTCGCAAAGAGTGGGACATAACTGAAGCAACTTAGCACGCACACACATCGAAACCCAATAATGAGAAAGTGAGCAACTGTAATCACTGAAAACGATGAGAGACATCATATCTCTTACCAAAGCTTTTTTTTAAGTCAATAGGGAATTCCCTTCCATCTCTCTGCCAGGCCATTTCATAGTCAACACCTCCAAGGAAAACCTCTAGAGGGGAAGGAGAATGGCACATACACTGGGTGTCTTTGTCTGTCTGACTTAATTCACTCAGTATGGTAATTTCTAGGTCCATCCATGTCACTGCATTGGCATTATTTCATTCA